CCAGTGGCGGAACGACAACCGTAACCGGGGGCAACGGCGAGACGCACACGCAAATCGTGCGAATGAGACTCGTGCCGCGAGGTAATAATAATAGAAGTTTATTAGCCAGTTGACAAATGTAGATTTGTATACAACTACTGTTGGTGTCGTCAACTATCCTACAAATTACCATGGGAGTCGGGAGGAATTCATTCTAAAGATCTCATCTGAAAGTATGGTTCTACTTCCGAAGAGTACTGAATAATCTTACCCTTGATGATTTTGCAAAAAAAAAACAGCCGTAGATACACCAGACACGTGTTGTACGGTAAGACTTACCTTTTAAAAATTACTGTTTTAAAGTGTCACAGTAACGGTGGCGCAAATCCTACCAAACGCAACGCACTTGATTTTTGACAAGCTGCAGTGTCGAGCCCAAACAACACCTTTACTTTTTTACAAGTGTCGCCTTCTAAAAATGTTTGACAATCAAATTATATTGATAGATAAGCATAATAAATAGATATTATTAATAGCGGCACCTCTGATTTCAAATTTATTACTTTAAGACAAACAAAATCACTAAAATATCGTGAAATATGCTGACAACTAAATGTTCGGATAGGTCAAGAAAAGCATAGCATTAGAGATAAGCAGAGACTAGCAGGCTATGCAAAAACAATTGAGTGCGATACCAACGTCAAAATACCATATATGTCAACGTCGTTAGAAATTGTATTTAGTATCTAATTGTATTTTCTTGTTGGTAATTTATATTCATGCAAAAATAGTGCGAGGTGTAGCCACTAACCAGAAAGTGAGGCAAATTATTAAGCTTAGTTTTTTTTGTTAATTTAAATTACTTATCAAGAAAAATAAATATTGTTATCGAAAATAGGTCACATTTTGTATAAACTATCAATAAAAGTTTTCGGTACAAGTTTACTATCTTGTTCTGTTATCTTACAGAACAATTTGCACAAAATTTAAAAGTTTCCGAATATTTAGTTGTTTGGGCTCGTATTATGTGCTGTCGATTCCTTTGGGCTTGGTGTCGCCAAATGTTTGACAACCATTCTAAAATTACCATGGCCGTCAGGAGGAATTATTTCCTAAGGGCACCAAGGAAAAAAATTCGGTTGTGCTCCCGAAGAATACTAAATGAGCATACCCTTAATGATTTCTCGAAAAACAGTCCCCTAGTACAACACACAGGTTTTGTACTGCATGATCTACTTTCTCTCCAAAGGGCGAAAACGAAAAACGAATGGTTGTGCCCCCGAAGAATAGTAAATAATATTACCCTTAACGATTACTCAAAAAGTAGCTCCCAAATACAACACACAAGTTCTGTATTGCAAGACCTACTTTTTAAAAATTATTGCATGAATGTGTCATAGTAACAGTGGCAGAAATCATACCAAACGCAACGTATCTACATTCATTTTTGACGGGCTACAGCATCTAGTATTACTCTGTGCTGTCGGTATATTTGATCTTGGCGTCACCAACTGTTTGACAACTATTCTACAAATTACCATGGGCGTCAGGAGGAATTATTTCCAAAGGGCACAAATGAAAAACGAATGGTTATGTCCCGGAAGAATAGTAAATAATTTTACCCTTAACGATTAATCAAAAAAAATATAACACACACGTTTCGTACTTCAAGACACAGTTTTTTAAAATTCTTGCTTGAATGTGTCACAATAACAGTGGCAGAAATCCTACCAAACGCAACGTACTTCATTTTCAACGGGCTATAGCATCTAGTATTACTTTGTGCTGTCGGTATCTTTGATATTGGCGTCACCAACTGTTTGACAACTATTCTACAAATTACCATGGGCGTCAGGAGGAATTATTTCCAAAGGGCACAAATAAAAAACGAATGGTTATGTCCCGGAAGAATAGTAAATAATTTTACCCTTAACGTATACTCAAAAAAAAAACAATATAACACACACGATTCGTACTTCAAGACACAGTTTTTCAAAATTATTGCTTGAATGTGTCACAAAAACAGTGGCAGAAATCCTACCAAACGTAACGTACTTCATTTTCAACGGGCTATAGCATCTAGTATTACTTTGTGCTGTCGGTATCTTTGATATTGGCGTCACCAACTGTTTGACAACTATCCTACAAATTACCATGTGCTGCCGAAGAATACTAAATAATGTTACCCTAAATGATTTCTCAAAAAACAGCCCTATAATACTAAACACACGTTTCGTACCTCAAAACCTACATTTTCAAAATTATTGCTTGAAAGTGTCACAATAACTAGCAGAAATCCTACCAAACGCAACGTACTTCATCTTCGACGGGCTATAGCATCTAGTATTACTTTGTGCTGTCGGTATATTTGACCTTGGCGTTACCAACTGTTTGACAACTATCCTACAAATTACCATGAGCGTCAGGAGGAATTATTCACAAAGGACACAAATGAAAAACGAACGGTTATGCCCCCGAATAATACTAAATAATCTTACCCTTAATGATCTCTCAAAAGCATGCCCCTAATACAACACACGTTTCGTACTTCAAGACCTACTTTTTCAAAATTATTGCTTGAAAGTGTCACAATAACTAGCAGAAATCCTACCAAACGCAACGTACTTCATCTTCGACGGGCTATAGCATCTTGTGTTACTTTGTGCTGTCGGTATCTTTGATCTTGGTGTCACCAACTGTTTGACAACTATCCTACAAATTACCATGGGCGTCAGGAGGAATTCTTTCCAAAGGGCACAAATGAAAAACGTACGGTTGTGCTGCCGAAGAATACTAAATAATGTTACCCTCAATGATGTCTCAATGACAGGTTTTGTACTGCAAGGCCCGCTTTTTCAAAAGTATTGCTTGAATGTGTGATAGTAACTTTGGCAGAAATCCTACCAACCGCAATGTACTCCCAATATTATTTGAAACTCAAAAAACAACCCCGCCAGAGGATATTGTGGGAATGTATGGGCCCCAAACATTTTGAGGCGACGATATCTTCAACATCCTACGAAAGAAAGAAAGTGCTTTCTAATATTAATCATGTGCTATATTGAACAATACTAGCTTATTTCTGGTGCTCTCTTGAGGCAACCTTGGGCGCCTGTAGGAATTTTGTCCAAACGGGGCAAATAAAAAATGTAAGGTTGTACTCTCGAAGAAATGTACTCTTGTATCAACCATATGATACTAAAGAAACTTATCTTTGATGATTTCTCGAGAAAAGCAGCCCCAAGAGACACTACACCCGTGTTTATTGCTTGCCCTAGTTTTCTAAAATTATTTTTTGAATGGGACACTGACTGCCAAACGCAAAACGCAACGTACCATATTCTTCAGATTCTTATGTTGTATTTCCTTCTTAGTGTATATGACACGACAATAACTAACGTGTTTTTAAGACAAATAATTATTAATAAATATACTAGGTGACATATAAAAAAGAACACCCAGTAATAACTGATTTATCACAAGATACACGTCTCTTATGGTTGAGTAAGTAGTTGATTGAAGTTTCAGAAAAATCCAACCGCTGAAAAATGTCTAATCAGATGATCAATTTTGGCTTGAGGTATCTCATCTCAGGCTACTTATAACTCGTGCCGAAGTGCCACTGAAGTCTATGGAGGATGGGGGTAGTATCCTTTCCACAATGTCACAGTCATGTTCAGTGGAACATCTAGGGGCCAAGGGAACAAGTCGACTTGATTGTCTTCAAAACGAACCTAGGTAGTGTGGCTAGACATTATCCTCCTGGATGTAACGCACGGCGGTCATGTTGCCTCTGATGAACACCAAACGTAACCAGCTTCTATAATATTGAGGCTTCAGCCCAGCCGATCTCTGCACCATCATCACCAAAGAAAATGGTATTTCATTTGAGACTCTAGCCCAGCCGTTCTGTACACCAAGCCAGTCGATCACTTCGATGCCTAGAAGTGCGAGGTACGACAAACTGCATTGTAACTGGTATTCCATACTCTCCAAACCATTGGTCCGTAATTGACCTTGTGGGCGAGAAGCAATCCCGCAGAGCCGAAAGCCTAAGGCGGCGATTTTAATGTGGGGTCGTACTTCTGACACGCCCTGTACCTCTAACTCTTCGATTACAAGCCCGACAACAAATCACCACGGTATTCAAACTTCTGTGTACTCTGGTAGCTATGCCTCTAAAGAACCGACCAGCCTCACACAAGCCTACTATTCGGTACCTATCAAACTCGCCGAGCTCTTTGTCGTCTTCTCACTCTAGGCATAATGAACAGATTAAACCAGCTCTTCGAATGAATAAATAACGAAATTAGATGCATAGGCCGCATGAACGGGCCCTTATGCGCCAATATATTCCCTGAGAATCAAGCTCCGACCTTCTAGCAAAGTTGAGTATAACTCTGAGTTAACATTTTGGGGATCAAAAGGACAAGAGTCTCACAGAATATGTGCCTAGGACTCTTCCTCTACCCCGCAGCACTGGCACAAAGGTTCCTCTGCCACCCCCATCACATGCAGGTGGCGTGTGATCGTGTTATTGCCAGGCAACAATCACACCAGCAGCCTGATGTTGGCTGTATCCACAGATAAGCAAAAGCGTTCGTTCTTAGCACTGGGTGATACAACCTGGCGGACATAGGTAGAGATGCCAAATGCTCATTGTAGCTACAAAACACAACTACCCGTATCGCCTACAAAAACCAGTTTATTGATATGGTGGAAAAGCTGAACGTTTTTTCGGGGTGTTCTTTTTCCTACGTCACTCAGTATGTTTTCCCGTTCTACTGTGTTTGACCGAAAATTGCTTGTATTTCAGGTTCGGTGGCGACTGCGACAGCTGCCGTCGTGGAACGGCGGATGGTAAAGCAAGAGGACTCGGAAACGGCGGCCGCGGTGGCTGGACCACTCTCGGTCATCGTGCAGCCTCAAGAGGAGTCCAGGGAGTCAGAACTGCTCAGCCCCGGCAAGCTGTCGCCTACTTCCGCTGTTACTGTAAACAATATCATAGAGAATGCTGCTGGAGACTACCGGCAAATGAATCCTGAACCCACGTACCAGACGCTGACATCCGTCAACGGGAGAATGTCACCGCCAGGTTAGAAAATTGACTATTTAGATTAACTAACTACATGAGCTTGTAATTTATTCAATTTACCCTAGACTCTGCCCAACCCGACCGCCGTCATGAATTTTTCACCTGAAACTCTTTATATATAAGCTTTGTTCCAACAAACTATCTAGCTAGTTCTGAACTGAACAGAGCACGCGCAGATCGAAATTACCGTTCCAACAGAAAATGGAACTGATTCCGTAACTTTCAGTTGCCTGACCAACCAGCGAATTTGAATAGCTTTGAAGGAGCCAAGGCATTGTTTAAGAAATGACAGTAAAAATACCAATTTAATGACAGGCCTGTCAAAAATTGACTATGATTCTCACTACAGACTAGGAGACTTAGGGGACAAACAAATATACTTAACGACATTAGAAGTGTTATACCCAGAAAAAACAATTTCTCCAACTTGTAATGACAGTAATGTGGGTGTGTCGTGTGTGGATAGAAGGAGGTAGAGGAACATGAAGAAGACCGTTTTGCTACTACGCGTCAGATCGCCGTCCACGGTTAGTGCTACCTCTGACTGCGGACGACTGTGGTCAACGTTTGAGCTGGAACAGAGAACGACTGCATTGGGAGGCAGAGTGGCATAATGTCATCACAAATCGCGATTCTGTTTAGGTACGCACGATGGTCGTAGAAGGGTAAGACGCCGCCGTGGAGAACGCGTGATATTGGATCTGCTGTTGAGAGGCGTGTACACAGGACTGTTGGACTAGTAGCCGATCACTCCTTCTCTTTGTTCAAAACAGTAAGACTGCTGTGCGTTCTGTTGATGATGTCCCACAAGCTACTTTACTGCCGTATCTAGACGGCCGTCCACGTGTCCTTTTTCAGCAAGACAACGCACGCCTCTATATTGCTCGTCGTACTATGGACTTTTTACAAGAAGCAGGCGTTAACGTTTTGCCGTGGCCACCCCGATCACCGGATTTAAATCCCATCGAACATGCGTGGGATATGATGGGGAGGAGACTATCCACTTTGCACCATTCGCCACAGACTCTGCTACAGCTAATCCGAATTCGAGTTGCTTGATATGAGATGCCACAACCAGACATCGATCATCCCATTTTGTCGATGCCTAGACGTATACAGGAGTGTAATCAGCTGCGGAGTCGCCCAACACATTACTAATTTTTCTTATTACGTGTCAATGAAATTTTGTGAGAATGTTATTGTTTCATTCTTGATGTAAGATTACCTGATTGCCAAAAAATCAAGTTGGAGAAATTATTTTTTCTACTGTCACTGAACTTAGCGATTTTTTTTTCGAAAAATTTGAATGGGTTTGTTGTCAGTCGAGTCCTTATTACCGATTGTAGATACTTAATCCATTTTCAAAAAATGATATCGCTGATACCGCTTGATGAAGTATTTTTTACAGACGGCCATTATTGAAAGAACAGCAACCTAAAGCTGAACAGTTTGAGTTTTTCTTCGAAATACTGGTTTTAAATCCTTTATGTATGTTGCATGGTTTGTCAGCTTTCGTGATAAATATGATTTGAGCCACAAGTCTGATAAACCAACATTGAATCTAAAAAAAGCATATGCTACATTTAAAATAAGTCCAAAACATTCATTATATATTAAAACTATATACAGGGTGTTTCCGAAACATGTGTCAATTTTTTTTACAAAATATCGGTTCGTTTCGGTGATCAAGCCCCTGAAGCATGCCACTGGAAATCCTGTTTTCTTAAAAACTCCTGAACAACGTCGTATAATCTAACGACCATTTACGACCTTTCGTCATGTCTATGGAAAACGATCAAGTTATTTTTTAGACCCTATGTAACAATGGCTTAAAAGTAATATGTTTGGGAAGTGGATCTATTATCTGCAAAAGTATATCACTGTCTGATTGATGATCAGTGTTTGAGAGAAATGTCGTCAAGTCGGTCGACGCTGCACTGCCCACGCAAAGCCAGACCAAAAAGGATTATGTGAGCTAGTTACTATTATCAAGATCGGCACGCCAACCGATGAACCCAGCGAGCAGAAGGAGAGATACGTAACGAAAACATGTCTCTATCTATCTAAGGTTTAAGGAAAAATGTACGAGGAAATCTATAATGTGTGAAATATGACTACTGTGAGTGTACTGTAAAATCAGAAATATAATCAACTGGAACACTACTGGAATAAGACGTATTTCTCAAAAGGGGCCATTTTATCGAAATCAGACAGGAATCCGATTTTCAGATAATGAAGCTTTCCAAAAACATAGGTTTAGATCCATTATTTGAAGTTGAGTCATTAATTTTCAGATAATGATTGTAGAAGGAAGATAAACCAAAATATGTGTGTAAAAATAAAAAAAAATGTTACCTTGTTTTATGAAGTATCCTCCCGACAAGTATTTCAGTGCGGACCTGTATTTGATCGTGCGGTCTTGGAGCACCGGCATGCCCTCCACTGTGAGGTCTTAAGTCACCTGATTCACGAGCCCTTTGTACTACATTAACAAAGGCACGAGGGGTTGGTTGCACTCGATTGGGAAACCGATCCGCATAAATCCGTGATGCCGCGTAAATAAGAATCATGTCCACAAGTTCAGCATTTTCGTAAACATGTGCCATTTTTGATTTCGTTTGAGCCACGCAACAGACACCACTATTCACTCACGCGTTAAATAATTGTAAAAACATCGTTCCAAATTCTTTCGCTTTTTTGTTTCCGATGCGATGAACCGATAAGGCGGATTATATCCGTTGTTGCCAAACACGAGCACATAATATTATTATTGAGACAGGGCGGTACTCAAACTTCCAAAGGGCTATAACTTTGTTACTTTAATTTTACCAGAAAAATGGTAAAGGAAAAAACATTTCTTTTGATCAGATCTACTCACTGTTAAAATAAATGACTCAACTTCGAAGTCACCCTGTACAGAGTGTGAAAAAACAGCAATGTGGCTTCAAGGCGATCTGGATGAGCTAATTGTTTTCTATGAACACTACCAATTTCATTGGATTGTACGATATTGTTCAAAAGTTATTTACGAAAACCAATATCCAGTGCCGCCCTTTAGGGGTATTTTGAAAATCTTCATAAAACATAATCTCTTGAATTGTTGTGTTTTGTGAACACCCTGTAGAAATCTTTCAACCTATGTGTCTCTGACCTGTGATAGGGGATTTTGGGACTTACTCGAGCGCGGCAGATTAATTAATTGCTTGCATCCTGTTCAGTACCTCTACCATATACAGGGTGATTCACAAGTCGTGACCAAAAATGAAACTAAAATTTGGTATGTGCATTAACCTATATTCATAAGAGAGTACGAATGTGGTATCATCACAACTGTTCGTCGTGACATAACCGCATGGTTAAATAATCATTTTAGACAACGATGGATTGGCAGAAACGGACCCTTACATTGGCCTCCGAGGTCTTCTGATTTGAACCCCCTGGATTTCTTTTTGTGGGGCACTTTTAAACAACTAGTGTATGCTGAACAAATTAAAACTGTTGATCAAATCAAGCCACAACAAATTTTGCGGAAGTACGTTTTTCTTTATTTGAGCATTTGTTGAAATAGAGCTTTGATTATCTAATTTGTTTTTTTTTTATTTTTACTTACTCTAGGAAAAAACACAAAAGTAATTATTTGTAACAAATTGAAGAAAAAATTCGAAAAATTTCGCGTTTCGAAAAAAAAAACAGTGGCGTACTATTTTTATTTGGAAAAATAATGCCACTAATTCACTGTATCTCCGCTACTTGTACACGTTAATTTTAATACTTTTGAATACGGACAATACTTAGGTAAATCCACATATCAAATTTTAGTTCGATCCAGTTCACGGTTTTAAAGGTATTAATTTTTTTTAATTTTTGTTCACGGCTTGTGAATCGCCCTGTATAAGCCCTTTATACAGAGGAATACGTTCAGGGCAGCCGATGCGAATAGTAAAAAAAAAATATGGTTAAAAATACTGTGCGTCAAACTAAGATAAGATGGGTAAATTAAATGCTTCAAAGTGTGTAATCATTTTGATTTGAGTATGACGTAAAGAAAAAAAACTTTATAACGAATGAAGGTAACGATATGCGATTTTCACTAGTTTTTAGGATATTCCATGCACTTTCTGAATGGTGAAAAATACCATTACGTTTGAAGCTTTCGAAAAAAATGGGATTTCTAATTTTGAGGTTAGACTTGCGCCCCTAGCGGCCACTTAAGCAAGCTGAAAATAATTTCCAGCAATTTCTCTTGGCCACTTTTGTCATATAATTGTTTAATCGATAGCTCTAGGTTGACTGCATGCCCGCGTCGTTTGTTAACAGCCCAACCGGTAACACGTGGGGCATATACAATATCAATATCTCTATGTAGCTATTTTTCATTTTTGACTACCTTCCAAACCCAATAGGTCCCTACGACGATCGAATAACTACCCGTTTAACCTCTTGCGTTCCCCAACTGTAATAGTTCTTTACTTCCAGGTTACAGCCCAAACTCCTCCTATGCAACGTTAACGCCTCTACAGCCTCTGCCGCCCATATCGACAATGTCCGATAAGTTCGCTTATGGTGGTCATACGGGCAACGTGTCCGGCACTTTCACGGTCATGCAGAACAACTCTATGACCAGCATGAGCCTGGGGATCGGCGTAACGAATGTCAACACCAGCACGCCTTACACAATGACCAATATCGGTATGACGCCCCCACATTCGTACTCGTCACCTAGTATGGGCATGCAACAGCAATCTAGTCCAATCAGTCCTCAGAGCACATATAGCCAAAACGGGCTGCCTTCACCTCAGAAGAGCATGTCTCCTCCAGGATATGACTCTCCTTACGGTAACCAAAGGGACATGGTGCCCAGACTCCACAGTCCCAACCTCAGTCCACCATCGGGATCGCTTAACTCACCGGATGGCACCTTGGTCACCAGCTTTAGCTCGGCAAACCTGAACGGACTCGGACTTCAGAATCACCCTCCAGCTTTGGTGCAGATTACTGCTCCGCAAAGAGACTGTTCGCCGTCACCTCCTGTGGTGACGTTGCAGAGTGCAACGACGATATCGCATCAAGCGCAGCAGCAAAATCAACAGCAAGGGATGATTTCTGGGAAAGCGTCTGGTCAAGGGACCCTCAGTGTACCTGCCATTGCTGCGGACGTTGAGGAGATCAACACCAAAGAACTGGCTCAAAGGATCAGCGCCGAACTGAAGAGGTATGTAGATTGAACAGAAATTCGTTTTTATATAAAATGCAACACCCAGAATTATTTATTGAATTTTGATAAAAACTCATTTGATATCATGTTTTTGTGAAGGGTTTTTTGTCATATCAGGATCCGAACAATATGAACAGTTCAATCCCCACAGGAAGCAGATTGTCGTATACCTTTTTTTATTTATTTAACACGCTTCTATTAGCTTGGCCTGTATGCATGTTCGAGGTAGGCCAGAGGCTCGCGATTTATGCGCCTCTCCATCACCTAACAGAAAGCAGAGCTATAGGCCTGTAGTTTTAAGTGTCGGTCTTAGATCCTTTTTTTTTGATGGGTTGGACATGAGCAAATTTCCAGTTTTCTGGGAAGGTGCCGGATTCATAAGATATCTGGAAGAGACGCGAAAGAACTGGAGCAAGCTCCGGTGCACACCTCTTCAGTACAATGGCAGGACCAGAAGCTTTGTTGATGTCGAGAGACAAGAGCACTCGTCTTACGGTCTTATGCCTGAATGTTACCTCTCGCATAGTGTAGGGAACCCTTTGGATTGACGGCATTGGGGGGGACGTCCATGGTGGAGTAGGCAGCAGAGATCTTGGCTAGCACTTCCGCCTTGGCCTTTGGCCTAAGTTGAGTTTCTACTTTTTAATTCGGTTAGCTATAAAAGCGTGTTTTTTTGAACTATTATTTATTTCCAAGAAAGTGCGTTGTTACAGAGCATTCCCGCTTGTTCGGATATACAGGGTGGTCCATAAGTCCTTTGAAATTTCAAATTTGAATAAAATTTAACGGGTGAGCGTGAGCGGCGCGGGCGAGGTGGGGGCAGTATCTTCAGTGTCTGGGAATTCAGTCGCCATGGAGTGTTTCACTGGAGCGGATCGTGCTTTTTGTGTGCGCGCGTTTTATCAAAATAATGATTCGGCAACCATTGCGCGGCGTAAATATCGAGAATACCACAATTTACACACTTTTACAAAGTGTCCAACAGCTCAAACGATTAAGAACTAGAGTGCTAAGTTCGAAGAGACTGGTTCGACGTTAGATAAACAGCGGTGGGGCCGACCAAGGACAACTCGTATTGAAGAAAACATCAACATTATGGCACAGTCTGTTCGTCAAAATCCTATCCAGTCTACTCGTAAGCGTTCCAGTGCACTAAACGTACCCAGAACATCTTTACAGCGGATTTTAAGGAAAGATTTACGTCTGCACGCTTACAAAATTCAGTTAGTGTAGGAATTAAAACATAATGACGCTATTCAGAGACTAAACTTTGCGAATGAAATGTTGAATCGATTTTCTTCGCTCAATAATGTGTTGTTCTCGGACGAGGCTCACTTCCATTTAAACGGGCATGTAAATAAACAAAATTGCCATTATTGGAGCCCCGAAAATCCAAGGCGTAAGCATCAGAAGCCCTTACACAGCCTTGAAGTTACAGTTTGGGCTGCTATGTCAGCGCATGGCATCGTAGGCCCTTATTTTTTTGAGGACGACAGAGGTCGCGCATTAACTGTTACTTCGGAGCGGTATGTAGCAATGATAGAAGAGTTTTTGACACCAGCGTTGCAGAATTTTCCAGGCTATAATACGCAGACCTGGTTTCAACAGGACGGAGCAACTGCCCACACCTCCAACACTTCTATGCCCGTCGTCTGTCAACTTTTTCCCAGCAAAGTAATTTCTCGAAGAGGAGACATTTCCTGGCCACCACGTAGTCCAGATTTGACCCCAATGGACTTCTTTTTATGGGGCTACCTCAAGAGTAAAGTGTACGACACCACTCCGCGATCAGTTGATGTCCTGAAAGAAAATATCCGAAGAGAAATGGCAAGCATTACAGTGTTGACTTGCCGCGCAGTCATCGACAATTTATATGAGTGCCGTGATCGTAATGGATTGCATTTAGACGATGTGATTTTTAAAACATAATTCCCATTCAATATAGATGATAACAAAATATAATAATTCTTCATAATGTAACTAGTTTGGTTTTATTCCTTTTTTCCAGCTCAAAGGACTTATGGGCCACCCTGTATAATTGGCGCTAGGAAAATTTCCTGTGTAAAAGAAAGTTTTCACCCTGTATGAATAAGTAGGAGTACTAAGCCGTACTTGACTACATTTTTATGACCTGAAAATCGTCTCTTACAGGTACAGCATTCCGCAAGCCATCTTCGCCCAGAGAGTCTTGTGCAGGTCGCAAGGCACTCTCTCTGACCTCCTTAGGAATCCAAAGCCTTGGTCCAAGCTGAAATCTGGAAGAGAAACATTTAGGCGGATGTGGAAGTGGCTACAGGAACCTGAATTTCAAAGAATGTCCGCACTCCGACTAGCAGGTTGGTGCATTTGACAGTTTTTAGTATCTAACTTTCTCGAGTTGCCACCAGTCAACAAGATCTAATAGGCCAGGAAATAGGTATTTTCTTCGTGCATTTTGGTCGACAGCAAATTTTTTATACGTGCAATTGGCTTAAGCTTATGCTGCCATTTTGATATACGCGTTTGATTGAATATCTCGATCCTGTGTGAAAATGTAAAGTCAACTTTGTAGGGAATTACATTCTCATAGATAGTTGCCAATAGAATGATTGTAAATTAAGTGATGAGACTGGTATTTTTTAATCTTTTTATACAAATATAATTACTGTTCTACACTGGCATCCTCAAAATAACTTATAGCCTTCAGCTGGTCGGTTACGGCCGTTTGAATGTTTTCGGCTGTCCCGAGGGAAGAAAAAAAGTCACAGGGACTAAAGTAGGGCGCATAAGGAGGCCGAGATATTTTTTTTGTGTGAGCAAAATGATTAAAAATTCAGATTCCTACAAAATTGTTCTTTTGACTTTTTGCATAGGAGGTTTACGACATATTCGTTCAAACGCGTTTATCAAAATGGCATCAAAAACTGTAGCCCTAGAATGATGCCAAATTGGAAAGCGATACCGTCAAAAACTCCCAAAATATCACTATTTCTTGGCCTGTGAATGAACTTGTCAAGGTGTGCAGATCGAAAAAAAAACGGAGCTGTTATTTGCAAAATTTTGGTGGCACACACGATGCACGCTATGTTAGATACGCACACACATGGAATAAAACATAATGGAAGCCGGTACGCGGGTACGCAGAAAAATTCATCTGATGGAACATGCTATGAACATTTTCGTCCATTTTCATAAATTGCTTATTCTGAGAACGTTTGTCAGAAAAATATGCTTAGAATGTAAGCGTACATTCCAAGGACAACAGCTACCAAAATATTTTGATGAATTTGGAAGCTACACAATTTTTGGAAGACAATTTTTACGGTTCTTTGAATTTCTATTAGAATCGGTGGCATTCTTGAACCATGGGCATCAAAACTTCATATTTTGATAGACGAACCTTCCAAAGCACTTGTTTTATTGTCAACAATATCCATCAGATAAGTGTTTGCAGGTTAGTCAAGGGAATCAACTCTCGTATACCGGATTCAAGACCTAACTTCTAGATTCGATATCCCGGAACTTTATGTTTTTAATGACCTTAGTAGGCATACTCCATCACTAACGTATCGCCAAAAAATATTGAAAATTACAAAATAATCTTTAATTTTCGCTAGGCAACATAACATCAATATCTGTAAAAAGGACTGTGTGGCAACTGTCTTAGAAACATGGTGTTTAAAGATTCCACAACTTGTTTTTGACATATTATGCAGCACTAGACATAAAGCGAGCTATTTGTTGGTGGATACAATATGCGAAGACAATTACACACTAAAATAGACATCCTACTAGAGCCGTTAAAAGTTTATCGTAAATAATTGAGTGACTCAATGACACAGCGGTATCCTTTCACATGTTTATTGATTTTTGTTTCGCTCCGGGAATCGGAGCGAATATCCTAACGTGACCTTCTTAAATCCCTTATAGTACAGTCAACACTGGATGTTTTCAGCAACGGTGTGCACATCACGTTTGTAATGTTGTTTGGCGATTGATATTCGTTGGCGACAGTTTTGACTAGCGACTTTTTTGGCGATTATTAGGAATATTTTTGGATATACTGGCGATTCCATCTTTAGGAAGGGTCATATGCAGCGTAAAATGCAATTAGGAAGCTTCCGGTGGACGAAAACATTGCTAATCATGTAAGGTTGAGAATGTTGTAGCAAGTTTCTTGTTATGCGTTGTAGCCCATTGTAATTAATCGCATACTTTCGCGTTGATAGCAACAGTTGGATGATATCAAATTTATCAACACGGATGAAGGAATTTTTCCATTATCGGTCTAACAATGTTCCGAAGGTGGTTGTAATCATGATATTAAATTTACATGAATAATCTGTATGCAACAAATCTGCTGAAGATGCTTATATTCAGACGAACTTGGACGCCAGGTTTTCAGAATTTTGTGGTCCTTCCCTAGCAGTTTGAAGATTTTTGGAAGTTAGAACCGATTGCCCATCGTGTCACGTGACGTCCGTTCAATCTCGCATACTCTTGGCCAGTCTCTTACTATGATTTGTTTGGCACCACGCCAATCAGTAACCTGCCGATTGCAAAATGCGCAAAAAAAATCACCTTGCGTCGTTCTTCTTCACGGCAGCGCTCGGCGTCACATTGTGGCATGCGAGAACACATACGCAACTGGAGAAGTTTCGTTGGGAATCACTGGATCATCCACCATACAGCCCTGACATAGCACCATCAGTAAAAATGGAGTATGTTTTACCTCCCATGCCTACTGGCGAGGAATGTTGTGCGAAAAATGTCGAAAATGGGATATTCTGTGTTTGGGTGTAATCCGCAAATCCTTGGCCCGTCCATAACTTTTTTTAAGTTTTTGCGCAAGTTTGCTGATATGCCAATAACAAAAAAGATTTTGAAAATCGGTCCAGTGGCAGTGGAGAAAAATTCGTTTTTTGACATTTAAGATGATCCTGTTCATTTTTCAAAGAAATTTCAGGAGTAAAAATTGGATGGTGGGGGGATGTAGGGGGGTGGGCGAGGGTGTGCACCGCGTATGGACACGCTCATTGTTGCTATCAGAGGATTTTTTTTTCATGAAAAGAAAAAATAGTGGACTAGTTTGTATTTGTAATTGTACTATTTTTTATTACTTCTAAGGGAATTATTGCGATCCCACCTGTGTGATGTGTGACCAAATACAGCTAGGTTGGGCAAAATACGTTATCAATTGTTCTGAACAATGAACCTAACAACTAACAACACCCTGCCATATCGCTACCCAGCGTATGTGTCATATCCTGTACATGTGCAGCACAAGCAAGTTTCGATTATCAAATCGACCGTCATAGTCAACATCGATCTCCCCCTTTCAGTTTGCAGTAGGGTGCGGGGTTGTATCTAGCATTACAGGGTATGCGTGAGGTGAGGGTCAACGCATTGTAAGGGTTCGAACCCGGCATACCACACTGCGTAAGGCACACGTCACTTAACACATAGGCGTGCGGAATGTGTTTTTTCAACAGTGGTGGCCGCATTACCGAAGTCATGTCAATATACACCTTTGCCTATGTGTAGACAATTGCATTTATTTATATTACATACTGCCTTTTCCACGAGTATCAATTACGGTATAATAACAGCTAGTAATATTTCAGAATTCCCCATATCGACAAGTGTCACATAATTTTGACGGATTCGTCAACGCCAGGTAGACACAGCCGTATTTTGTTGTATTTTTTTGTTGTTGTTGTTGTACGGATTCATTTTGTACTTGCTAACAACTCTTTTATTTCTACGCAACAAAGTTACATTTTTCAGGATGAATGTACATGAAGTTCCATTTTATTAACTCTAATAAGACCCCCTAAGAATGTATTTTCTACCCTAGAAGTATTGCGAAGCCGTTCTGAATCACCCTGTAATGTGTGTTGCGGTAATCAGGGCCTTAATCTGGGGAACACGATAATACATATAATACAAATTCTAGGTATGCCACTTTTAGACTCGTGTTTCTAAAACTTTTTGTCTCATCTTTATGTCCTATAAATATTACTGTCAATGTTGTCTAATTCAGGGCCTTAACCTGGGGCCCTCGTTACATCCACCATAATAGATATAATGCACACACTACATCCACGACAATCTATTTAATGCAAATTCTAGGTGTACCTTTTTCTAAATAATCTTTATAAAGACTTTCCGTCTCACCTGAGGCATACCTTTCGTCCAATAAACACTTTCCCGGTTTCCAAATGAGTCTGTATTACGTCAATGCTGTCTAATTCAGGGCCTTAATCGATAACCGCAGGTTCTAGGTTTGCCACTTACAGAATCGTGTTTTTAAGAGCTTTCTGTCTCATCTCAAGCGTACCCTGTTCCACAAAAATATTGACACGGTTTTCCAAATCGCCATGTATTATATCAATGTTGTCTAATTCAGGGCCTTAACCTGGGACACATGCTACATCCACGACAACCTATGCAATGCATATTCTAGGTGTGCCTTTTTCTAAATGTTTACAACGGCATCTCAGATGTACCTTCTGCCCAAGAAACATTGTTAAGGTTTTCCAAATCGCCCTGTATTGTGTCAATGTTGTCTAATTCAGGGCCTTAACCTGTGGCGCACGCTGCATCCACGATGATCGATATAATGATATAATGCAAATTCTAGGTGCACCATTTAGAGGCTCATGTTTCAGCTGCACCTTCTGTCCTAAAACCATTTCCACGGTTTTCCAAATCGCCATGCATTATATCAATGTTGTCTAAAGCAGGACCTTAACCTGTGACTCACGCCACATCCACGAGAATCTATGTAATGCAAATTCTAGGTGTACCTTTTTCTAAATAATGTTTATAAAGACTTTCTGTCTCATCTGAGGCATACCTTTTGTCCAATAAACACTTTCCCGTTTTCCAAATGGGTCTGTATTACGTCAATGCTGTCTAATTCAGGGCCTTAATCGATAACCGCAGGTTCTAGGTTTGCCACTTACAGAATCGTGTTTTTAAGCGCTTTCTGTCTCATCTCAAGCGTACCCTGTGCCACAAAAATATTGACACGGTTTTCCAAATCGCCATGTATTATATCAATGTTGTCCAATTCAGGGCCTTAACCTGGGACACACGCTACATCCACGACAACCTATGTAATGCATATTCTAGGTGTGCCTTTTTCTAAATGTTTACAACGGCATCTCAGATGTACCTTCTGCCCAAGAAACATTGTCAAGGTTTTCCAAATCGCCCTGTATTGTGTCAATGTTGTCTAATTCAGGGCCTTAACCTGTGGCGCACGCTGCATCCACGATAATCGATATAATGATATAATGCAAATTCTAGGTGCACCATTTAGAGGCTCATGTTTCAGCTGCACCTTCTGTTC